TTTGTAAACTCGAGTACTTGCAGCATGTTAAAAATAGTTTATTTGCAATTTAGTGCCACTTGGTACCATTTCTAGCAATTAAATAGACGCTGAAGTCATGTAGCCACAGATAAATTAGAGGATGTTGAATATATGAGAGGTTCAAAGTCCAGAATTCAAGTTAAAATAATGCACAATTGGCAAAATATAACACACACACACACACACAAAAAAGGAATAATCAGGGTTAGTGGTATATAGATATAGTAGCAAAAACATCCCACACGATCTTACAAATCAGATTTCCCAAACATAATTTTTTTTTGCAGTTATTCTTTGTTAGCAGTCCCTGAAGTCCAGTCAGCACAAGGCAATTCAAACAAGCCTGTGACATATTTTTATTTGTTTTTGCCTTCCCGAATAGGATCATAATCTGGAGTGCAGTCCTTCCTTATCCCACTTTTTAGTAGATTCCTGTTGAGTATATTTTCACCCTTAGATAGTTTATCTGATCCTTAGCCACGATAACTGGCTCCTTGAAAGTACTAGTTCATGCCTCATCACTTCTATGCTGCTAAAGTCCTGTCTGTTCAGCTTCATCTCCAAAAAATGCCTTGCAGATGCCCTGTGTGAACTCAGCTGGCTTCATTGCTGACAGTAATCTCTTCTTGTTTCGAGACCTAAATGTAACAACAGGTCGATGCTTGGCCTTGCTCTAAACAAAGTAGTTATCTATTGTGAATGCAATTCTGCTGCTGATTTACAGTTTGCTTTCAGAACCATTCTGAGTTCCCAGAGGTCTTCTCTCATCACGCCTTTGTAGCAAAGTTCTTTAAAACTGTTTTGCTTAAGCATATATGAAAATAATGCTATCTGTTGTTAGCTCTTAATGGAGGCCAAATAATATAACAAGCCAAAAAGCATAATACTGTCATTGGGAATATATGGTTTTCTTTTTTTTTTTCCAAAAATTTTGGATCTCCATACACCAAGAAACACGGTGTACATGTCTCACTAAGAGAAACATGTATGTTTAGTTCATCGGAACTGTGGAAACACAGCATAGTCAATGAGGTCAAGTTATTGAGTGTGAGAAGCCGAAAAATAGGCAGCACCAGTTTACTATTTTTTTCCAGATATCAGCTTCTCCATCTGCAGACAAATGTTACAGTAAGTAGAAATGTTGCAAGCTACTTTGCTGAAACTAGAGAAAGTTATCTTACACTGACAGAGAGTGGAGTGTATGACTGTAAATAGTTCCTTAATGTCTAAACTTGCAGCTTCAGAAAAATTGGGTTTGACTTGAGCTTTCAAAAGGAAAAACAAGCAATAAAGATATCTACCTTTTTCCTTCCAAATCAAAATGAGCCCAAGTAAAAGAGTTGGAGTTTATTATTCTCATAACCTGTTTCTCACTTCCTGCTTTCCAAAATGATTAACTGGAGAATCCCTAAAGAAAAATGAAGAAACAAACATCTGAATGAAGACTTTAGGAGCCATCACATTTAACACTAATTTCTATGTCTAATCCAGATCTTCAGAGAAGATTCAGTTAGGATCTTTTGTAGCAAAACTATATATTCTGTTACAATGAAGGACTCTGCATGATTTTTTTGAGCTTGTCTAAGTTTTGGACATGGGTGTCACATTATTTTGGTCTCATGCATATATATGTTAGCTATTAGAGAAGCTCTTGCATAGGTATTAGAGGAATAGTTTGACCCCAATTCCTTGGGCTTCCTTCTCAAATTTCTGAACAAATAGTAGCCCCAAGTCAGTAGTTTTGATAACCCTTTGTTATGCATTTTTCTTCTACTTTCATTTTAAGTATCAAATAGAATTTCCTAACTATTACTGCAGTTTGAGTTTTATCAAATATCCATCTCTTTGGATAGCAGTTTCACTCCAAATTAATATTGATTACTTTATTAACTTTCCTATTTGCCATGAAATAAATGCATTCATTGAAACTTAAATTATTTAATGTTTTTATTTAAGTAAGTTTTTGATACAGAGAGCTATCAAATTACTGCTAAGTAGTCCGTAATAGTTATTCACATGTTCAGGCTTCTGAATATTTACTGTTTGCTTTCAGTTTTGCATCCCTTTTGATCAAATATACAGGAGTCTTGGTACTATTCAAGAAACTGAAAGTAGATTTTGAGGATGAGAGAAAAACCTGAAAGTCTCATTTCTCGATTTCTTGAAAGCTTTATGTTGTACATACTGTAATGCTAGAGTGTTATTGCATGCCTGCTGTTTTTCTGAACTGTGCTTCTATACGTGATTACTTTCTTGCTAAAGCAACCAGTAAAATTACAAACTGTTGGTGACCTCTTTTCTTAGTGTGAACTCCCACCTAGAATTTTTCTACTCTGTAGCTGCAATACCACACTATAATCTTAAAAGCACAGTGAAGTGTACATACCCCAGGGCACACTGCTATTTACTCCTATGCAGTTTTTTGATGGGCTTTGAGAACTCTGTCAACCATTTTGAAGTGTGTGACAGTAAATAGAATCCACATAGCAAGTCCAGTAATGATCATTTGCAGCTGTTATGGTTCAGGTGCGCACAAGGAAATCTCAAATGGCTGGTGGGATTATGCAGCCAAGCCTTCAGAACAGGCAGACTGAAATACTATCAAGAGGAAGGCTACCACCTTTGTCAAAAAAAAAAAAAAAAAAAAGCAACCAAACACAGAAACATAGCAGTAATCCCTATTATAGATAATGTTTTATTTCTCTTGAAATAACATGTGCTTTGGCAGCTGCTAATAGCAGAAATAGATATATAGATATATAAATTAAATGTTTCTCTGACGTTCTGCATACATGTGCTTTTGTCGGAGGATTTATTTTAGGTTTATTATTAAACACAAGTGCAAGCAATTGTATTGTAGCAGAAAATTACTGAACTCAAATAACCGAGGTTCTGGGTACGCAAGAGAGCTTTGCATCAAATGTCATCTTTCTTTGGGTAATGCAAAGTTTTGCTAATTGTATTTTGGGCAACGGAAAAACACGTCATTCAGAATTTGAATAAACAGTTGCAAATTTTCTTCAGGAGTGAAAATTTCCATTTGGGTTAAGATGTTGATCTATTTCATCTTCTCAGTGGCAGTTTTGTTTTCATTTCATCTATTTTTTGAGTTAGTAACAATTTCCTTTTATATAGAATGCTATTTTCCATTTAATTTTATGTTTGCTTTCAGAATTAGTAGGAGAGATGAGTTCTTGGAAACAAGGACAAGATGTATGAGAAAATAGTTGCTCAAAGCTCAGATTGGAGCAGAACCAAAATGTAGTATACATGTGTTGAAATCCAGCCTTATGAGTAGGTGAATGAACATTATCATGCAGTAAAATGGCTTTAGTACAGTTGGATTTCTGGTTTCGGTGTGAATCCATATTTTTTGGATTTGTGGTATTAAAAAGTGTTATTTGTGTTAATGTTACACTTGCCACATCACAGAACTAAGCTGTAGAGGGGGAAACATTATGATGGTCAATACTGGGACAGGTCACTTGAGTGTGAAGTCTCCCTACTTGGAGACAGTTGGACACAGGCTGGAGATGACCCTGAAGAACATAATCTGCCATTGGCACCAATTTAAAACAAGCCTTTTTCTAAGCAGGATGTAGGACAGGAGCTCCAGAATACCCATACATCCTCCACTGTTTTGAGATTCCAAATGACATTGAGAAAATGGCTTTATTCATTTTCTAGTAACTGTAGAGAGGCTGCAGATAACATTTGGTGATTTCCACAATAAACATTTTTAGATTTCATCCTCACTTGCCATAGTTTGGAGGTGCATACAGTGCCATATCATGAATGGTATTGACTAATACATGTTGCTTATAAATATTTTGGTTAAAAAAAAAAAAAAAACATTTCCCAGGGCAGTGGTCACAGCCCCAAGATGCCAGACTGCAAGCAGCATTTGTACAACACTCTCAGACACAGGGTATGGATTTTGGGTGGTGCTGTGTGGATCCAGAAGTTGGACTCGATGATCCTTGTGGCTTCCTTCCAACTTGAGATTTCCTTGTGCACTCATGAGCAGTAATAAGAGAAAAATATTTTTTTTGTCTTGAGAAAAATTTTTTGTATTGATTCATTGTATGCTGCAGTAAGAATTTTTAATATTCAGATGCTATAGTGTGGCCATTTCTTGGTTTCAGCACAAATGTATTTTGTCTATCTTTATGTACAATTAAAATTCAAAACAATTAAAACTGTGTTAAATTAAATGTTCAGAATGATTAATTACAGAATTATTTAATTCACTGTAGTGATGATGATTATCTGAGTCTAAAGTTTTTAACAGAAAAGATCATAAAATGTGTTAATATGCATTGCTGCTTTTAATAATCTAGAAACTTCAGGAACAATTTCCAACCTGTCTTATTTCCAAGGCAGTGGGTTTGTTCGTGGTGCTGGATCAACTGGAGAGAAACACTTTCAGTCAAAATCTGGTTTAAAAAGAAAAATAGTTTCTATTTCAAAATACAGGTCTGTGAGAATTCTTCACTGTTGCAATTGACCATAATTAAATATTAGATTCATTTCTGAACAAAAATATCTGATGTCCTAATGATCATAATGTAAATGCCTTTAGACTAAAAGCAACTAACTAAAGCCATTATGTCAGGAAGATGAGACCATTTATTATAAATGCAAGAGCTGTATAGCTTTACTATCATAGGAAACAGAGACGTGTTCTCTTTTATTAATAGAATTAGAAATAAGGGACTATTATACAGAGAATTTTCAGTTGTTAATGGCAGATTAATTTGCAGTCTACATTAGTATTCTTAACCAGGTGCTTTTGTTTTACAGTCATGAAAATATGACCTTTTTACAACCAAAACTGACATCTTTTTGGCCTAGAAGGCTATTAGCTGAAGGTGTTGTTACCTGAAGATGACTTCAGCACTCGCAATGTTCTTTTATGATAGCATGTGGTTGAATATAAGCACTGCATTATCTCTTCTTTTGTTTTGATTTTCTTCTAGACATTTCAGCAATCTTCTCTACAGCAGAAAAGTAAAAAGAAAAACAAAGGTAAAAAATAAATTTATTTTCATATGTTGGTAGGAAGAGAATTGCAAGCATCAGTGTTTACATTACACATACCTTAGACCAACTAGAACTTTTTTGCTCCAGTCAAATGAGTAATTCAGTTGAACAGAAATATACTGAGTTCCTTGAACATCATACTGATAAACTATTAGTCTGCTATGGAAGTCTTATAGTAGCCTGTTACCTTATCATCATACTGCTACTATTTATTTTTTTTCGATATTTACATTCTAGCCTCTTTGGGGACAGGGCTGTTTTTGCAGCTGTATCCACATAATGCCTTACTGCAGTTGTTCCTTGTTACTTAAGTTGTCTGGTAATTATATCATGGTAAACTGTTTTCCTTTGATTTAGAAGTACAAAGGCCTCGGGAAATGTTCCGCTGCAAAAGGAGGTTCAAAGACAGGTTTTTGAATACCAATTAAGTATTTACCTAGTTTTATTTCACAAAAATATTGTAGAATTAGTAGCTAGGTTTGAAATACATCAATTTATATGCTGTGTGCTTTAATCTGACATGAAATACTAATTTGCTGAAAATGATAAATAACCATTTTTCTTCCTTTCTTTTCTCAAAAACATCTTCTCTTTTTGGTCATAGCTTTAGAATATGAGCTCTGTAAGGTGCTGAACATTGTTTTGGTTTTGTTTATTTTAAGCTGTGTTGTCTCACATAGACTTTAATAAAAGGCTTGTAGTAATTTAGGAACAGAAAATGAAGGTTGAAATTTTTCCTTAATGTTGTGAAGCAAATTTGTAGTGCTTTATAGCTAACTTGTTGACATAAGGGACGAGTCAAATGCTTTCACAACAATTTGTCATTTTCAGCTCCTATTCCTGGTAAAAGCAAAAGAAGGATCTCCTGTAAAGATCTTGGCCGAGGAGACTGCGAAGGCTGGCTTTGGAAAAAGAAAGATGCTAAGAGTTATTTCTCCCAGAAATGGAAAAAATATTGGTTTGTCCTGAAAGACACATCTCTCTACTGGTATATCAATGAAGAGGTAAGCATGTATGCTTATTGTTTCATCATATAACCTGTGTAGTGTTAATGCCATGGTTTTGTGGAAAGCCAGTGGAGCAGCTGTGCAGCTTTATAGACCCAAATAACTATGCCCTATATTAATTACCTGCCTAAATTACCAAAGAAAGAATTAATCTTCAGATTTACCCTTTACTACAAGAATTAAAAACACACTTTCCAGAGTCCAGCTCTCACCATTTTTGCATGAATCTGTCATCAAGCCATTGAAAGGGAAAAGTAGTTTATTTAATGTTGTCATTCAAGTTTAGTCAAAGGAATGAAAACTTTAATTATATGCTGCCTAGCATTCCCTGTTTATATGTAATGGTGAGATCACCACAAGCTCTGGCAATCACAGAAGATGCTTTTGTTTTCTTCAGTTGTTTTCTCGTGCCGTTCCTTCTCTAGCTTTTGTTATGATTTCAGGGCTCATATATACTGAACTTAAAGAGCATCAGAGCAGCTCAACTAAATTGTTTAGAGCTTTAATTGTGTGACGTGTTTTGCATTCATACAGGATTATTTATGTCAGCTTAAGCAGAAAAGCTTTTTGCCAGTCAGGTAGAAGACCTTAATTTTAAACTCTACTAGTATCCTGAGGTAAAACCATTACCAACATGTGAGTGTACTCAGGCTTGGACTACCTTACTTGTTTTAATCACTGCAAGCATTTATGCACAATTTTTTTTAAATGTAACTTCTCCCTGAGTAGATGGAGCAGATAGAAAGGAAGTTCTCTGAACAGAGCCCATTGTCCCACACATTTACTTCATTTTTGCCTTCATCCCATCTTTATGTCAGTAACCCTAACTCTCTCCTTCGCATCTTCTCTCCCGAGGTTACCCTACAAGGTCATCATCAGGGTAGAAATTCATAAGTACTAATGCAATGACTAGCCACCAGCTAGACAAGGACCCTGGGGAACTAATGAGCCTTGTGTACCTTTGGAGAAGGCAGTGGTCTGAGGTCCTGTGCCTCCTTCCTGCTTTGAGTTTCCTTGGCTTTCTGGGGCTGTTATTTTTGAGACCTCAGCTTCCTCATCAAAAGATTCAAAAGGTGGGAGGGTACAGGGAGGCCTTAGTGACAGATGGACAGATAACTTAACCATGCTCTTGCCAATTGTTCTTTTTCTTTGGAAACTATGCAAAAAAGAAAATAATAACAAGTTCATTATAAACAACTTCATTTTCATTTTAAAAAAAGTTCTAATGAAGAACATCTGACAACTTTGTACCTCCCACAGAATGACTCCATTACAGTTTCATATGCTGATCTTTGTCATTTATTTATTTATTAAAAAGAAAATAATCATATAGAGTGCACATGTAGCTGTGGGGATTTTGAGAGAAAAAGATGTAATTCTTTGGAATTCCTTAAAATATAGTTGTGTCTTCTGCAGCTTCACTCTTATGATCCTGTGTTGATTTCTCAGACCAAGTCATCAACAGTCAAAGAAGAGAATCTGTGGTATTGATGTGTCAGTGTCTTGAAATAATTCTTTCAAATTGTGCAGTCAATGCAGATTGAATATCTCATAAAATAACCTATGTGCAAGTCTTTAGAAGACAGAGGAAGAAGGTTAGATGTCTTCTCTGTGTGTTGGAGAGAGATAACAAGTAGCTCAAGTGATATTGCATATCCTAGTTGCGATATAGTATAAGGATGACAAATAACATTTATTTAAATAGTGGGTTTTTTTTCACTTTTTTCTTCTGTTCCTTACAGTAGGCTGCATTTCTACTTACTAATTAGTTCATCCTTCCCTGAAATTATTTAATTACAGTAACTAATTGCCTGCATACATTTGGTCATTTTGTATATTTTCAGATACACATTCAACTGTGAAATTGTTTGAGAAAACTGGATATTTAAAATGGTATTTTACACCAAGGGATCTTACTACTTTGGCAAAAGTCCCAGTGACTTCTACAGGAGGTTTGCCAGAGCAGAGCATACATTGGTACTGCTTATGTAAGAAGCAGGCAAATGCAACTATCTTTGTTTTCAATGTGGATTTTTTTTTTCTAACACCTTTACATCAGTACTATTTAGAACTATCTTTGCAGGATGAAAAAGCGGAAGGATTTATCAGTCTACCTGAATTTAAAATTGACAGAGCAAGTGAATGCCGAAAGAAATAGTAAGTATGTTAAAAAATAATGCAATGATACAATAGGAGCAGTGCAGTACCATAGAAAAAGTGAAACAAAGTTGAACATTCTTTATAAAACGGTGACATAATTGACTTCATTACAATAATCATTTAGTTATATCACAGAATGAGTTCATACAAAACTGCCAAATTCAGTGTGGTTTCTGCATCATCTTTCTTAAAGAAGAATGGAGATTTTTGTGTTGTTTTTTTGTTTGTTTGTTTTTTGGTTGGTTTTTTTTTGTGTGTGTGAATTTTAGTATTGGTGGTGGTGGTGGTGGTATTTTTTAAGTTTATTTTGAACTAAGAGTAACAAGGCTGCTTACTTGCTTCTGTCTCATTATTATTATTTTTTTAGTTTTCTCCTCTCCTTTTCAGAAGGGAGGGTTGTAATTTTTGGTTGTTATTTTTGTTGTTTGAAACCTGGTCAAAAATCCATCTTTAATGCAACTGCAAATTAGTTAGCATGATCTCGAACTCTGCTAGCTTATTATATTGGTCCTGAGGCAGAGTAAAACAAGGGAATGGCAGAATGGCTTGATCTAGAGTATGACTTTTAAAGTAACTTTCCTTCTCACCTATCTTTGTTTGCTGGTATCCACATTTGCACCATTGCCAGAACCCATTTTTCATTTAGATGCAAGTTCCTTTATATTTAGTGATATGAGGAGTGCGTACTCTCACAGAAGTATTCTTAGTCATTACTGTTGTAAACCTTTTAGCTTCCTTCTAATGTTTTTTATCATTGTTTGACTGAAGTTTATAAAGACTGTGGAATTACTGAAAATTGTACAGAAAAGCCATTTCAAAAGCAAAACAATGTATCTTATGTTACATACAATTAAGAAGAAGACACTGATTTTGTACCAGTTAGCCTACATAGCTCTTCAGGGTGAACTCTACTCTTCATTATGATCTCATAGAACAGAATATAAAAATAGCATTAAAACATTAACTTGAGCTTACAGTGTCCTTTGTCCTTGGACTACAGTGCTAAAGTGCTTCATTTGTATGTTTTGTTGGGGCAGCAACATGAAGTCAGCCTATTTCTCAGAAATGCATCCTGCTTAAATTGCTTTTTACATGATTTGGTATCTGATGGATAGCAGGACATAAAATGTGGCTGTTAAATTTCCTTGCTTGGATGACAGATAAAGTAAAAAGAATATGTAAGAATCCAGATGGCAGATGCTGTAACAGTTTTAAGAAGTCAGGTTTTGGGTATCAGTAACTTGATTATGTCTTTTTAAATCGAGCAGACGTCACTGTACATCTGCTTTCACTTGCATAACATTGTGTCGTGTTCTAATATTTAGGACTGCTTCTTGTCTCATTTTTACAGGCTACTTTCAATAGCAGTATCTTTCCTGGATTTCAACTTTATATACCTGGTTTCTGAAAAACATATATATGTATATATATATCTTTGTATATGTAACTACGTGTGTGTGTGTACACGCACATACAAACACGCTATAGTCTGCAAGCATGATACACAGGAAGAGCACCATTAACATTTTTCTAAAGAGCAAAAGATTAGAGAGAGAATTGTTAATTTTTTTATATGCATATATATATATATAGTCCACTGTCTCTCAGAAAAATGCCACTGACGTTTTTCATATATCATGCTTAGAGTTTTCCTTATTTTCTTGAGGAGTATTATGCATTTTTTTCTTATTTTGGGAAAAACCTTCAGGCTATTCTCAAAAATGATTCTTCTGTGTTGTCAATTATTAATTACTGTCAGATGCATTTTCTAAATCTTTAAGAGCTTCCCCATAAATCTTTATGCAACATAGTTACAAAATTCTTTCAAGTAATTCTCACAGCCTACACATGTTGATTACTTTGGTGGAAAGAAAAGATGAGATGTAATTTCCCATTGCTTAGAATGACCTCAAGAACACATTGTTGATTTATAAGGGCTTTTCAAAAGTAAATCACATCATATTTTTCTGTTTGAAATTCAGTCATCAGAGCTAAAGGTAACATCAAGGTCATTGGGATGTCATAAATTACCAGGATTGCGAGATGTTCTGTTGTATTGAATAAATTCTTCGGTCAATTTTCAGTCGAGGTAAAAATTGACACCTTCAGTATATATCAGTAAAATTGCAGAACGCGTATAGCTATCACAGTAAGTGTACAGTCTCTATTTATACACGTACGAAAGTAGGTGTAGTTGCAGAACATTTCAGTCACTGAAATCTGCCACTATCCTAAATGTTAATATCATAGAGTTATAGAATATCCTGAGTTGAGAGGGACACAAAGGACTCAAGGATGTTGTATTTTTGTGTCATGTCTGGGGGCTTCCGACAGCTCAGGAAATCTGGATTCATCTCATTGCTCGGTGACCACACTACTTTACATTAAAAAAAAAAAGAAAAGTTGTACCATTACATTTTTATAATTATGTTTTTCCTCTACAGCGCATTCAAAGCCTGCCATCCTAAGATCAAAAGTTTTTATTTTGCTGCTGAACATCTAGATGATATGAACAGGTAAGGAAGTTAAGCAAAATTCAAGGAACCATTCCTTACGCAAGGCATTTCCTTGAAGCTAGTGATTACAAATTAGAATGTGATAAATTGTTTAGCTAAGAAGGTTGTAGTTAAAAAAAAAAAGAGTTCAGAGTGGCATTATTTCTGAGTGTCTGCATATGCTAAACATTCAATTCATGCAAGAAGTATCTTTTTTGAAAGAAAGATTTGGAGATTTTTGGAAACGAGGTTTTGTCTTTCTACAAAGAAGCAAAAAAAACTTTGTAATTTTGAAAATAACTCAGAAGCACAATTTAAGAATTCTGGGTTTCTGTCAAGCTGTTCTTAGCTGTGTTACACCTGCAAAGGTGGAATATCTCCAACTTGGCACCCCAGCCTATCTCTACAGATGCATGATGCTTGATTTGAGGATGCTTCTATTCTCCTTCGAGGCATTTGAGGGATTGGAAGAAGTTGGAGAAGCAGTCACTGATTTTTTTTCTTCAGCCATTCATGAAATAGGATCTAGAGATAGCAAAGACTTAATTGTGCAGACTGTCGCTACCAACATGAATGTAACTTTCACTTTGAGGTGAAATTTCAGTTTTATTGAAATTAGCAGGGAAAATCTCATCAGCTTTTAACAAAAAGAAATTGAAAAAGAAAGCATTTTAGTTTTGCTTCTTTGTGTGTTGAGCTTACCTCTAAGTATTTTAGGTCTATTTTTCAGAATGATTGAGACTTCAGCACAAAATAAACACAATTTCTATTACTTCATTTAAATGGCAAATTAAAAACATAGATCCCATGTCTATTCAAATCTATCTGAGAATTCATTTCATTTATTTTCACAACATACACTGAAGTTAACTCATAGGATGTAGTTTTCATCATATGATAGGGCACAAAAAAGATCTATGGTTGCAGCCTGATAATTGTTCTGTTTTGGATAAAGTTTGTAGACATCCTAGCTGAGGTGCTTTTGAAACAGAAGGAAAATGAGATAAATCCCAATCCATAAAACACATTAGTAAGATCACAGTTTAATCTGTCCTGCGTGTACTAGATTCAGCTACCTGGCCAGGGAGCTTCAGTGTACTGCCAGTTCTTTACTGATAATATATGACTGAAAAAGGATGCCAGTACTCTGCCGTGCTTGCTTTTATTTAGAAATAGCCGTCTGTTAATGTTTTCAAAAGTTCATGCACGACTAAAGCTCACTTCAGAAGTCTCTCCTCAGTTAGAAAACTTAAAACCTTTTTGTTTGTTTGTAAAATTTTAGACTTGCCTCTACTAGATAAATCTGTCAGGCCAGTCACTCAAAGTGCAGTTTGCTGCACAGCAAACAGAATAATGACGTGGTCTATTCAGCATATTCTGAACTACAGCAGCAGATAAATCACTTCTGTCAGTAGGTCTTCAGTGTGTGACAAGGTGGCTTGCTTCTGAAAATTAGAATGTGGCTCTTCAGTAATCAGAAAGCAGCAGGAAATGTGCATCAGTACATTAAAAACATATTGCACAGAGTATATCATAAGAGCTAGTAAGTTTTCATCTTCCTAGCATGAGTTATCTTTTATTGTTTTTTTTTTATCAGTTGTGCTTACTATTTTATTTAGAATGAGTGAGACTAAGTTTTGTTCCATGTTATACACGTGTAAATTTCAAGTAACCCCATCAAGCTCTATGGAATTACTTGAAATTCTTATGTCTGAATTGGCATTGCCGTTTCAACATATGCTTTTTTATCTTCTTTGATTGATAATGTAAGAAAAAGAAGTTCACTTTCATAAACTAAGTACGCAAATTAACTGAACTGAACTGAAAAAATGTGTTACTAAAAAATAGTCTTTCAAATGCAGAGATAATGAAAGACATTGCTTCCTATCTGAAAGCATGTTCTGACCTAGCCAGAGTCAAATACAGAATCAGTATATTAAAAGGTAAATAAGACTATTTTAAGCAACTTCTGTTCTTTTTCAGGTTTCCAAGATGTTTTAATAATATATCATGCAATCATTTTAGTTCTGTTATATTGGAAAGCAGAACAATAGAAGAAAACTGCTAAAACAGACTAACAGAAAGTTACAGATCATTCAGTTCCTTCTACCTCTGAATAAAATAATTTAATTAAAAAAAAAAAAAGAAAGTATATATAGAACATGAAAGGATTTTGTCACTATTCAACATTTCTTACTACTTTTATGCTATATTGCTATGCTTGTAAGAAACCTGGGGAGCTATGATCACTGAACTTCATTGTTGTGAAGTCCCTTGCCTTTGCATGGCTACAGCAGCAAAATTGTTCTTTCAACCCACATAACACATTGAGTTTGGGTGAGAGAAGGACAGAATACCCTTTACTGACACAAAGTACAGTTTTGCTAGTGTAAGTATATATTCACTGAAACACCTTCCTTGGAAATTTATTTTTATTCCAAGAAAGTGATCTACTATAGAAAGCAGTCCACGTATTTCTTCTTAATGACACTATACATAAATTTGTTTTGATTTTCTCTGGTAACTGTGGCTGACTCTTTAAGTTGTCAGCTAGGCAGTTACAGTCAGTAACTTCATGTGGAATGGTTGTCTGAGAACTTCCTTGAACCTATGGTAACTGAACTGTATTGTTTCTCTTTTTGTTGGAGTCCAGAGTATTGAAATTGGTAAGAAGTTTCTTTCTCAATGTAACTAGATGATCAAGATCAAAGAGGACAAGTCAGTTTGTAGTGTTAGTACATGAGAATGTCTCTAGGTGTATGAAGATGACCTCTAAATTTTTTCAAGTATTACCTACACATCTCTTCATTCTAGTTGAAATGCAGTTGATTGCTTATAGACATTGTATGGTGCCCATACTCCCATATAGCCAGTTCATCCTCATCCTTGAGCTTTATGATTAAGGAGAATTTGACACCCTAAACTAAATTTGACTACAAGCATTGCATGTACTTGGAGCATGAGATAAGAAATTGTTTCCTACTATTCTGTGAGAATGCCAGTACAGTGCATTCTTTCTTACAAAAGTTTCAGATCTATAGAAATATTTTTATCTACTTCTAGTGTGAGTCATGAAATTGTTTTAATTAAATACTGAGGGGAAATGTACATGTCCTATTCTTAAAAAGATTTAAAAACAGAAAAGGAAAAAAGCAAACTTAGATGATTGCTGCAAGTACCAATGTTACTTACTGTAACTATTTTAACTATTATTGTCATAGCTAACAATAACAGACTTCTCACAAAAACGCTAAAGCTGCACTTGCTATTTTCTTGGCTTCTTGCCCTTGCGAAAACTACAGTGGTTATTAAGACACAGCACAATGTAGGGAAAGGAGTTTAAAATCTTCCCTTGACCAAGTTTTGCGGATGACTTCCAAGTGGGTTTTTATTGTATGTTTTAATATTTATATTGAGTTCTTATATAACTGTACACTTGATACTTTTGTCCCTTATGTTGTTTAAAGCAGGTATTTTTTACTCTTCTTTTGTTCTTCCAGAGATCTTTACAAATCCCTGTGATACAAGTCCAGTGTGATAGATTTCTCATATGACCCTAACTTGGAGTAAACTCTAGCCACATTAAATCAAAATAATGATTTTTTTAACTGAACACGTTCTTCTAACTGTATTCAATGAATCTTTAGTGGACATATATTAGAAAATCTGCAGAAGTCAACGCCATTCTCTTAATCTCTGAACTAGCAAACCACTCAAAAGCCATTGTTATTAACTCTTTACAACCGTATCACACCTTGTCACTTGGCCACAGGCATTGTAGGTGACACAAATCATGAACAACAGAAAATGATTAAATGTGAAGTCAGTCTCTCTTTTAGACCGGTATACAGCTCCTGGGTTATCATTGGATTATATTTATCAGAAATTTATCCAGAAATTTTCTAGAGTTATCCGCTATAGCTACGACCAATATCAATTGACTGTCAATTAACTCTTTGTTAATGTAGCTGATTGCCTCACTAACTTTCATGTACAAAATGCTATCTTATGTTTAGGATGAAATGAAATTTCTCAACTGGATAACTCCCATACTTATCTTACCTATTATGTTGTGGTCAGCAGATCTATTCCAAGAGATTCAGTAGGTGGTTGTTTCATGTTGACTGCCATGCGTGGTGATAAGCTCTGAGCTTTGTTCTCCAAAGAAAGCCTTCTTGAATCAGGAGAGTTAACCTAAGGGAGTGTTTTGGAAAGGGATCACTTTTTCTTCCACGAAAATGTGCAATAATCATCTGATGCACAATTTGTTGACTCTCTGCCTCCATGTGCCTCTGACTTTTTATAAATGCTTGGCACTTCCTAACAAGTACGACTAAAATTTTGTCTCATCTTCAGCTTCTCTATCATTCTGGCAGAAATGTTGATTATAAGCTAATATGAAGTATGCTGTAATCACTTCAGAAGCAGATCTCTAGCATCCTTACCAATACATAATGACTTCTGGACTATTAGCATAATTTACAGATAATACATCACTGCTCACTGGTCACTATTTTGGGAGGGGCAGTTGGAGAAATTTATTTCAAGGAGATATTTATTTCAAGGTATTTTATGATCTTATGCCTACTTTCCCTGCACAAAAGTTTCTCAAAGGTAGGCATGCAGGAGGGGTTAAAAAGGTCTCAGAAAGGCCTCTCTTGCTGAGAAAATAATATATGCTGGTTTCATGTGTGCACTGTGCAAATAAAACCCCTCAGGCACAGTTTTCTGAAACACATTTCTGAAGAAAACACAAAACTGACTTCACTTATCTCTCTACCAACACTAGCAGTAAAATTGCAAGCTGCTCACTAGCTTGGCAAACAAAGTCTGTCATCCTGACTGTGGGATGGCTGGAATAAGCAATTCCAGGTTTAATATGGAATGGACAACCACGGAAGGTTGTCATGCGCTTTTAAAGCTTCATTGATGGAGAAACTGATTTAGTGTAAGTGGTCGGATAATGAATACACTGAGAGCCACATGGGGGAAGAGGGGAGGTTGAAGGAAAGCATTGGTAAGGGCAGCTGAATGTACGCCTCACAATGACTGCTCTGCTAGAAGAGAACTGCAGTAGTTCATTATTAATTCGTGCAGCTCATGGAAGCCTTTTTTCAAGTCTGAGTTGAGGAGAAAACCTTAGATGTGAATTGCATTGAGGCAACTGCCTTTTCTCTCTCTGCTTCTCTGACACAAGCGCAAAAGTGAATTCTGGTATGCCTCCTTCTCTTTGTGGCACTATAGGTAAGCCCCAAAACATATAATGGCATAATTAAGCTTCACTGTCTGTTTAGGATGGAGCCTGTTCTTTTGACAGCGGGTTTCTGCTCTGTTCCTCTGCTACATTGCCTATTCAAGCCTTAAAGTATTGCTTAAATTTCTGAAAAGTGGTGTTTATTCTTAAGAAATCAGAACAGCAGGAGTAGTGATGTGATGGTGTATCTGTGAGCAGCAGACTTAATAGCTCTGTGGTTATCTCCAAATCCTGTGTTTTACAGATGTTTGACATCATACATGGTTTTCTATTTGAAGCAAGATCTATGCTGTAAAAACAGTTTTTTGAACAGCGTAATTATAGATCTTTGGAGGCTACCTGAGTAAAACTATCAAACAAAACAGCTGTTTAATATGAAAAATAACATTATTCTGAATCTCCTTCAGATGCTCATGCTTTTGTTTGTTGTGGAGGTGCACCATAATTTAACATTCTGGATCAGTATCACTGCTCTTTTAATATTATTTCAGATGGCTAAACAGAATTAACATGCTTGCTGCTGGCTATGCAGAAAGGGAGAGAATCAAGCAAGAGCAAGGTAATGTATTATTATTTTGGTTTCTACTGTCAGCTCTTATAACAAGTTCATCTGCTCTTTTTTCCCTGCTGTGTATCAGGCCTCATTCTCATCAGCTGAGAGCAATTCTCAAATGAGTTTCACTGTTGTTGCAGTAGCAAATTCTTTCTCTTGGGGTTTTTGATTAGCTCCTTCAGATTCTGATCCATGTACCCTTGGATTATTTCTTTGAATGCTGCAAAAGTAGATAAAAGCAGCAAATTTACTGCCAGTCGTCTCAGGTATGTGGTGCCCAGGTATGTGTTCCCCCATCAGAACAAACTTAAGAATCTGTAGACTAAAAAAAAATAAATTGAAAACATTGTCATTTGGTATTTGAATTTACAGGAGTAGGAATGCATGAAATTGGTCTCTAGAACAAAAACATTCCTCTGAAATCTGCTGACAAAATTGGATTTCCCTGAAAGACTTAATTTTAAGGCCATTAAGTGTAGTGGTGATTACTACTGATTTTGCTATATTGAGGTGCGTGGTAGAGCCCTGTTGCCTTTTCAGTGAACTCTTCGTTTGGAGTTGTAGGCTTACATCATTTTTTATTTTTTACGTCTAGTATTTCATAGCTTTATGAAAGTAGCATATTTAAAACGAGTCACTTTGTTTTAGTTTGCTGCAGTAGAAATCATGTTGGCCAGCAGGATCCATTGTGTTGGGCAGATTGTTTTGTCAAATTGCCGGTGGCAAAGATTCACAGAAGCATTTATATCCAACAGACTGGTCTGGAAAGCATTTGGCATCTCAGTTCTTACTCTTTTTTACAGGTGTATCTAGCTGCAGGCACCAGACAATGACAGTGTTCAGAATGAGCGAGAACTCATCTGAGTGCCTGTCTACCTGCTGCCTCCAAAATCAGAATACCACATTCTAATTCTGTGCCTTCTCAGCCTTCATCAGTGAAGCTCTAACTTTTGTTCTGAAAAGCATGTAGCTAGCGCATGCAGTCTTTTTTTAATGCATTCTTTTCTTTACAAAAACTCCATTTCTAGCCATTTTTCAGGGAGAGTTTGTATTCAGAAGATGTTTGCTAGGCTTCAAAATTAGCCATGTGATGTTCCACTTGCCCCCCAAAATCCTGGTTCTATACCAGCCTATGTAACAGCAGCCTTAGCCATGTCCTTCTGGCATTAGCCATGTCTCCCTCCTGGGAGACTCCATGCAAAAGACTTCATTGCCTATTGAGAAACAAGGAGGACTTTAGTAGGCAGGTGCAAACATCAATGGAGTAAGATATTCAGTAGTGGCAGAAGATGAAGAGATGTTAGGAAATGGCCTTAATTCATATCGTGATTGTCTTACTACAGAGCACCCTAGAGGTGCTGTTGAAGATCAGTGGCTTACAGCATTGAGACGTGTTCTGATGATAGCAGTGCGGGAGGGAAGGTTTGTGGGTGTTCAGCCTTTCCCTCAGATAACTAGGTTGTACCTGCTGCTGCCTTGTTTCTAATTATATCTTCCAGCAAATGCAGCTGCTTACTGTGGGAGTGCTGCCCATCTCCTGGTGTGGTCTGTTATTGTCTGTGCACACCACATCACTCATCATACCAGGTCCTCTGCATTCACGCAGCCCAGGAGACATGCTGCGTTCACTGCCACTCCAGTCATTTTCTCAGTGCCTCACCAAACCAAAACCTTCTTGGGAATCTGTATTTCCCATGTCATACAGCAATAACCATTTTGGAGGAAACTATACCATCCATCACTGCTTGAAGAGGCCACAAACAAACAAACTGAATCTTGGAGTTTTCAGGGAAATCCTCCATGTTAACATCCAAAGCCAAACTGAAGCTTTTATAGAAAGGAAGTTGGCAGTAGAATTACAATAACATGTGGGATGATAAAGGAAAAAGTGTAAGAATAGTTATACTAACACTGCCCAAGTGCACACTGCAGAAATAGTGCACTTTTGTAAATCCAGATGGATGTGGAGAAATTTTTTTCCTACCAAGCAGTTGCTGAATAATTGCAGACGATCCCTTTCTTAGACATGAGATCACGTGTATTCAGGCCTCATGTTGCCTATTATTAAAATGGCTCCCTGTTGAAGATCATCAGCGAGACTCCACTTACTGCTGAAATTATATCCCAAGCACTGAGGGAGCTCTTTATTTCCACTCTAATGCCATTTACTCAAATTGATTCATTGTATGGAGGTAGGGAATGTTATATCCGCTTTATGCTCCGTATTTGTGTTTACGAAGGGAATCAGCATCACATTCCCCTTTTGCTGCAGCACAGAGCTTTTATGCCTCTGCTGCTTATCCTTGGCTCCCAGAGCAAGGGCTGTTAAACAGCTGAGCTGTGCCCCTAATTAGCAGAGGCATTGAGTTAACAATGTAAAGCCTCTCTATCACTTCAAGTGTTTTTGAAATTAAAGAAACTGTGAAGCTGGATTTTTCTATATTCAGTGACTGCAGCAATTGTCATCTACATATTTAATTTCACAAAAGGTCTTTTGTCAGTTCAGCCTCTTGCAGGAAAGCTTTAGAATGCTTCTGAAACAATTCAACAGTAGTTGTCAAACTTGTTTCAATTAAGAGTTGAACAGTTCTGAATCTAAAGTGTATAAATATATTTCAAGTGCTTTAGAGATGCACGAATCACTAAACTGTGGGTGTATTGCTGGAGAAAATGTCACATTCTGTGCAGAACAATCTTATAAAAATACCATCAGCTTTCCATATTAAATACAATGAATGCTAGCAATAAGGCAAGGGAGTTTCTTGGATGGAGAAGTTACATGCTTTCCAGTCATAGAAAGTTAGAGAAACAAAAGGACTCGCTTATCTAAATAGAAAAGCTTTAACTGGAAAATGGCAGGTCAATTTTATCTTACTTGTAACACATACAGTCTCTTGTTCATTCAGAAAGCTTTCAAGATATGGCTAATGCTTTGAACATGTCTGTTGCTAAATTGGACAAAATCTGCAGAGAGAAATGTGGCAACCATTCGATGCCATTACACACATTTTAGATAGACTGTAATGTCTCACTTGCCAAAAGGAGAACATTTTTTAAAATCTGATGGAAGCTATTTTCATTCATTTCACCTGAAAGTTGGCCCCTATAATTGCAGATTTTTTTTGTAGGCAAATACAGTAAGTTGCCAACACAATTTCCTAGTTGAGGTAAGGTGCCCAAAAGCACAATCATACAGTATTTTATGGTTTTGACAGGAAGAACTTTTTTGTATTTTTAGCCAAAATTGGAAACTGCACTGAGAATGCTAGATTTTACTTCCAGAATAAATAGACGAGCTCCAAGGCTGCAGAAATCACAGTGAGTGAGATAGCTCTGACAGACCTCTCACAAGAAGTAGCTCCACTAGGCTTTGCTATAATGGGAACAAACATATTTACGTGCCAGTATTTTGAGGTTTTCTGAGTTGCTGGAAACAAGAAAAAAGAAAATGTCTTAACCATTTGTTCTGATGTTGTTTTCTTCCCAACCAGTGATGAATTATTTTGAGATGTCTGCAGACAGGGACATTTGAAATTAGTTGTTGTTTTTTTTTTCTTTATTTCATTGCCATGATAAAAATTATTTATACTATTTATTTCTTACACTACTTGAAGAGAACCTCTCAGCTATAAGCTTGCATGAGGCAATTCAAGAAACCCAGAGTCACAAAAGAGAAGTTATTACTTCTAAAGAATAAATAGATGGATATGGCTGCACACTCCTCAAGTACCATAGCCTGAAAAGATAAAGAATTTTAGAGACAACTATTTCACAATGGTTTCATCTTGAGATAATTTTTTTTAACTTTAAATCTTGAATAAGATTAGGTACAGTAGATTTTTAATCATGATCATGTTGGTAACAAAAATCATTAAAGCCAAAATTATATGTTGTGCTAACTTGGAAAAATTCAACCCATTCCTTTGGTTAGATAGTTCAGATAGTAAACCTTTTTCTCCTATTAAATATAAAATAGTAAGTTACACGGTTCCTTGAACATGTAAAGTGGAAATTGTCTGTGAATAGCATGAACTAAACTTGTCCTGTGGTATAGTGGCTTACCCAAATACTAGAGTGTAATGCAGTCAGGAACAACGTGGCAACACAAACATTTGCATCAGTCTTACAACGTATAGAAACATAAAGACTATCCGTCTGGATCTGAGTCAGCAGTTAGTTTTCTTTTTTATGGAACATTAAGATCTGTTGTCTATTTAATTGCATCCTCTTCTGCTTCAAAAGTAATTGCCACAGAATAAATAGAATTATCATGTTGTATGTTCTTACATGTGTTTTCCTTCTTGAGTAAGTTACCAAAAATATCATAGAATCATAGAATCATTTGAGTTGGAAGAGACTGTTAAAAGTCATTTACTCCAGCTCCCAATATGAAACGGACTTGGCTAAGACTTGATATCAAAAAAAAAGGAAGCCTCATATCCCGTTAAATTTAATCCAAAATTGATGTGTCCTTTGTACTTTCTTTCACCCATCTTTTACAGTTCTGTGCTTAAATATAATTGTCACATTCTTCCTTAACAAACCACCTTTACCTTGCTTGGGTAATAGGATAGCAGCTATTTTATAATGAAGATGTTATATGAAGTTTTTCTGCCTTATCAGAAATTTAATTGAAAACCTTGGATAACTGGTAGTGTAGAAAATGATGATAAAAATAACACTGATTATTCATCCACTAACCACTACTTGCTTGATTTGCTAGTTGGTATTGATTAAATTTGTTAATGTTATTTGCAGCCAATAAGACTTTTGAAAATTGCTTTCATCTTTTCCATTCAAAAAATACTTTCTCTAATTTCCAGCCAATATATGTACACTCACAATTATTTTGATGATACAGCTAATATTTGAAAATCTTATTGCACCATGTGTATTCTGTATGCACGTTGTATTTATAAGATGTGTAGAAGAGTTATATCAGTGGGACATTCGCAGGTTGTTGGTTAATTTCTCTGTGGTGGGAAATGAGACAAAATACATCCAATGTTTTAAATTTTTCCTCCTTATGTTAAAACATTTCCAAATTACAGCAGCTAGCATATAGAGAGTCAACGTTCAGTGATATTTAACTCTCAGTAATATCTACGAAGGAATTTCTAGTTGTTTTTATGAAAACAAGTTTTCTGATATAGAAACTTATCAAAAAATCTTGGTAGCTTTTGACCTGATGTGTCTGTAACTTGTAGATTACTGGAGTGAGAGTGATAAGGAGGAGGCTGACACTCCATCAACACCCAAACAAGACAGCCCACCACCCCCATATGATACATACCCACGGCCTCCTTCGGTAAGTCACCTGCAACTGCCTAATCTGGAATGGCTACACAAAGTCACTTTCACCAACTCTAATGATCAGAACCACGTGCTTGCAAACACTGCACTCCAGTGTATTTTTTAAGCCAGTACTGGGCATAAACTATTTCTTACGTACAATGCATTGCTAGCTTCAAGAACCATCCTTGCCATTTGCACTGGTGTGTAGAGAACACATGTATAATCCTACTCATTGTACAAACATGAATTAAGTTACAGAAATCTTCCTCTTCTTAATTCGTGATAGACCCCTACTCATCCATGTAATTGCTCACATCCCACTTACCGTCTTCTTTGACAAAATGTAATACCCTAGTAACAGATTCTTTTCTAACAGTTGTGCTGTGAAGCATTACAGTAACAAACTACACTTCCAGAGAAATGCCAACATAAAAATGTTATTTTGTATGGCCAACAGCAGTTTTGTTGCTTGTGAAAAAGTAGGTTTATCTACAAAAGAGAGCAAAAGGAGGTCTAGTTGTTATTTCCTTCTTTAAGCAGTTGTTGTTTAAGCACTAATGAGTGATCTTCTAATTTATTCTTCATTGGAAATTTTAATTTTCATGTCCATATATTCAGACATTACTAAAGCACCTTCAATATAATTTTAAATAATACAAAAATGTCGATTGAAAACTTGGTTGAGTTTGTGGAAAGTGCTTGTGATATTTAATTTGCGTGCAAGACGTTTTCCAAAGCCACAGAGCTTTGAAATGTACTGAAGCTCTGCAAACATGTTTCCAAAGTAATTTTTAGCAAGATAGGATGATAGCAGGCATTTGGATTGCAATTTTAAGATAGTATTGATGGGCCAGGTGTATCATAATCATTTGAGTTGGAAAAGATCTTTAAAGGGCATCAATTCCAACTCCCCTGCAATGAATAGGGACACCTACAGCTAAATCAGGTGTTCAGAGCCCCATCCAGCCTGACCTTGAGTGTCCCCAGGGACGGGGCATCCAACCTGCTGCAGTGCTTTACTATCCTTATAGTAAAAAACCCTCTTCATATTATGCAAACTAAATCTCCCCTCTTTTAGTTCAAAACCATTTCCCCTTTTTATCACAAAACATCCTGCTAAAGCCTCCATCCCCTTCTTTCTTATAAGCCCCCCTTTTAGATACGGAAAGGCCTCCTTGGAGCCTTCTTTTCTCCACACTGAACAGGCCCAGGTCTCTCAACCCGTCCTTGTAGGGGAGATATTCCATCTCTCCTGTGTCTTTCACAAAGCCATATTTGACAAAGTTTTCTGAAAAAATAATTGAGTGGGCCTCTTCTATTGATTAAGGGGCATTATGTAGGAGTGCATATCAGTGTGTGTGCAGGGTCATTACCACAATGGGGGCCATCGGTAGCAAGAGAATCACAGAATCACCCAAGGTTGGAAAAGACCTTTAAGATCATCCAGTCCAACCATCCACCTATCACCAATAGTGCTCACTAAACCATGTCCCTTAATACAGTGTCCAACCATTCCTTGAACAGCTCCAGGGTCGGTGACTCCACCACCTCCCTGGCAGCGCATTCCAGTGCCTGACCACTCTTTCAAAAAAGCAGTATGTGATTGCTGTTAGGGGTAGGCCACAGTCTCCACTGATCTCAAGCTTGCTCCATTGCAGATGAGTTGCACCAGTCCCTACGTGGAGCCAAAGCACAGCCGCCTCTCCTCCACAGAGACCTCCCAGTCTCAGTCCTCACACGAGGAGTTCCGCCCAGAGGCGGCGGGGAGTGTCACCGACTCACCGGTGCGCAAGACAGCGAGCCAGCGGCGCTCCTGGCAGGACCTCATCGAGACGCCACTGACCAGCTCAGGACTTCACTACTTGCAGACGCTGCCACTGGAGGACTCGGTGTTCTCTGAGACGGCCGTGGTGTCTCCTGAGCACCGGCGGCAGTCCACCTTGCCCACCCAGAAGTGCCACCTGCAAGACCACTACGGTCCCTTCCCACTCGTGGAAGGGGAGCGGATGCAAGTGCTGAACGGGAATGGAGGCAAGCCCCGGAGCTTCACGCTGCCACGCGACAGTGGCTTCAACCACTGCTGCCAGAGCCTTTCGGTGGGAGCCACTGATCACCACGAGGAAGTGCAGCAAAAGGAGGTGGAAGAGGAAGAGGAGGAGGAGGAGGAGGAGGAGGAAGTCAAAGCAGCAGAAGAAAACCAGGAGGATAAAAGTAAGTATGGGATATTTCTGTGGCTTTTCGGCAGCCCTGTTTGTGTTATGTAGTGGTTGTTTTTCCCTTTAACTATTAAAAAAGTCTTCCACCATCTCCCATATTTTACCAGGTTCTCTTTGTTTTATATCTCTTTAATCAACCATATGTATGAGGCTTAACAGTCTTGACAGAGTGCTGCATGATCTGTCATGAGCCCCAGATGCTTCCCCATTGGCTGGTCAGCAGCTGTACCCTAATAGTGTTTCTCAGTCATAAATGGATGTTGCTTCCTTGCTTTCTTTCCCCTTGCACAGTATTCTCCCCCACTGACACAAGTATGTGTCAGGCAGGACATGCTCAGTCCAGTTTTCCAGTCAGCCTCTCTCCAGGTTGTAAAAAACACTCAGTAAACCCTGGAGTTGCAGGGTCAGGTTGTGACTGTGTGGTGTCCAGGAGAACAGGTCACGGGACAGCTCAGAACCTGCAGGAATTCGAAGAACAGTGTATGTTCCCCAATTCCTCACCTTGTGATTTTTAACGACACAAGTTCAGAAAACATTTCAGAACAAAAACTAAAATAAAATAAGAATATCTATTTAACCAGCGGGGTTTAAAAACAAAGCATCCTAATGTTGAGTAACTGCCTCTTACATGGCACATCAACTCCATAGATATTTGTGCTACTTGTCAAAAATATTCTAAATAAATAGAGAATGAAGGTCCCTGCTCCTCCTGAACACGTAAACACATTTCTGTGTCTGTTTCATGCTCTGTCTTCACTGTCATTTATGGAGCTTCTCAGCGTGCGTTGCTAGCAAAGTTCAGTTTTGCACCCAAGTTGTCAGGTCTGTCAACAAAGCCCGCTTCCATGCATTGTGGGGTTGTGCTATGATGAAGTTTCTGCAGCAGCAAGGAAAGTGGCAAGGATGACCTCTGAAGCTCTCAGAGGTGCGGTGATCTCATTCCTTCAGATTTTTCACTGTAGTAAGGAAGGGTAAAAATGGTAAAGAGATAGGAAAGGGTAGTGAAAGTTTTGGATAATTAACTGCCTGCCTAAGTTAATTCATTGAAGTTACCACCATCTTGAACATTAAGGTTCATATGGGCATTATTTAGTCTCCATGGGAGAGATGAACTGTTTTCCATTTTCCCTTTTTGGTCAATAGATTCTAGACTGCACAAATTCTTGCCTTGGAGAAAACAGTGATTTCTTCTGCAGATACAAAGTCTGGTGCCATAAAAGGGAGAAAAGGCATTATTTCAATTGCATTCATGCATTACACTTTCCGAAAAATCCATATATTCATTAGGGTAATATTAGACTCTTACAGACTGTGAAATGAAGCTCTCCAATTAACAAGGTTGAATTTCATCAGATGGGCAGAATATGGTGTCCTATTTTTAGTCTTCAATTTTGATTTTCAAATGGCTTTTTACTGGTGGCAATAAGATTTTTTTAAATAAAAATATTTCTTGCAGCCACTGGAACTGGAAAAGAGCAAGGAGACTTCCCAGCAGTGCCTGTTCTGTTGGGCATTATTCAGGGATCCTATTGCAGAGCCTAAGATGTCATGTGCTTTAGACATCAATTTTTAATCCCGGGTGTAACAGGTTTTATAGCGTGCAATACTAATAAAGGGCTTGTGTTTGGATTAGCAGGCCAGAACTTGGGCTCTCCTCCACATTTCTCTACAAATTTACAAAAAAGGGAGGAAAAAAATTAATTTTCAAGCAGTTTCCCTATGTACACACACTTTTATTTTTCTTTAAGTGAGAAGGTTTTCATGGTTGAAGCATTAGCAGGAGATTGGTTTTGAGACATTAATGACCAGCTAGACAAGTAAAGTGTTCATGGTGAGTTACTGACCATGAAATTATAAAAACAGAGAGAAAATTCTGTTTAGTCTGTTGAAAAGTTTAGGTGCCAAATTGCTTGTTGCTATGGCTACTATGTTCTGTTTGCAACACTGGCTTTTTCTAGCATGGTTACCAGTATAAAAGGCAGGAGGGACTGCATGCAAGTGGTGCTCTGAGGTGCAAAATCTAAATTTCTGGGCTGAGAGGAACAAGATTTGCTTGAGACTGCCGAGCGTGCTGACAGGATTGGCCCCACACCTCCGCTGGTCTGGGAACATAAAAACTTGCAGCTGGTGGGGAGGGGAATCCTCCCTGTTGGGAGAGGTTTTAGCCTCTCCTTCAGGCTTCCCGATGTGGTATCAAACAAACCTTTCACGTGTATTTATTTGCCTTGCACTTTTGTGATCCTGACATAGTTCTAAACTCTTGGATGGCTCTATGTTTTCCTGTGTGTACATGTCTGTGTTTCAGAGCTTAACCATTCCTCTTGCTATTTGTGTGAGACAAGGAATACAGCGCCTTCGTGCTTGCTGCTGTATGAGTCAGATGTCATTGCCAAAACTTTGTTTTCTCAGCTTTTTTTTATTCCTTTCCCACTTTTAAAGCCTCCTGAGTTTCAACCAAACAGTGAAATGCAGTCCTGTGTTTTCTACTTCTATCCCAAAGATGTTTTCAAACAGTCACCACACACATTAGGAGCTCCAAGCTTTCTGTCAGATGCTGTCTTTGGGTGCTATAATTTGCATGGTTCTGTTGACTTTCTACAAAACCTACACTGATTTGCAGCAGCTGAGAACCTACTCTCTATTAATCAATGCTATGCGCACTAAATAAATACTGCAAGAATGTACTGACACTGCAAATAGTGCTGCGTACCAGCTCCTGCTGTAATGCCTAGATATATCACGGTAAACTAAAAATGTGTGTTGTCCTTTCCTGTGCTTATCCATTGGGACGTAACTTTTGTGTGTTGTTCAGTTGCTTCTTTTTGTCTCATGATATCACATTAACACTTAAAGGCTAATCTTTGGTTATTCTATTTCCGTAAGTGACTTTTGTCTCAGTCGTTTAGATGTTTGGTACAGACACTGTCCAGTAACGGTCTCTTGCTTTGTAATTTAAGAAGATTCTCTTGTGGGGTATTTGTGTTTGTGTGGTTTTTCCTGGGACCATGAAAATGGCAAACAGCACCAAATGTGCCCTCATGCTTTGATGCTGTGAAATAGCTGCACATAAAGAGCACGTAAGAGGCCTGGCCCCTCTGCATTGCATTTCCATGGTGCAGTTGCGAAGGATGTGTGCCTTTCCATGTTTGCCTTCTGGTAGCTGCAGTGAGCAGAATGAAAGAGCCGTGCATCACATCACTGCCACCCCCTCCCCAGGCCCTACCGTCATCCTCACTCTCTGTGTTTGTTTCATGACTTAATGCCAAAGAGCACCTAAGATCTTCTTGGCAGATGATTGTTACTCGATGGAATCTCTTTCATTTTATAGGCTTCTGTGATCTGTAGGGAAGGAACAGGGATGTCTCTGGGGTCAGCGCTGAAGAGAAGCAGCTACTAGCTCTGAAGTGTGTAACTGGTGTGGACCCACTGACCTCTCTTTAAAGAAACCATCACCTTCTGTGCTACCTCCTAAAACAGGGCAGGAGGAGCAATAGTGTCAGTGGGAGACTAATGTAAAAAAACAATTTCTTATACCCAGTCTAAATCTCCTCTATCTTAGTTTGAAACCTCTTCCCCTTGTCCTGTCATCACAAACCCTGCTAAAGAGTTCATCTCCTTCTTTCTTACAGCCCACCCTTTACATACTGAAAGGCCGCTATCAGGTCTCCCCGGAGCCTTCTCTTCTCCAGGCTGAACAGCCCCAGCCAAAACTGTGAAATATGCAGCACTTCTTGCTTTTACTTCTCTGCCTTTTGGATAGGGTATCGTTTTACTTTGGCAGGGAAATGTGGGAGTTAGGATGAGTAATGCATAAAGACTGGATTGTACACGCTGGAGCTGTTGCTGATGTGTGTCTGCAATTAATAGGATGGTTTGCCCCTTTCCATTAGACAGGATACCATTAGTAGTGCCCTGTCATATGACCCCACCTAGTTAGTTTTATCTGCACCAATAGGAAAGGGAGAAGCCATTAAGATACTATATTTTCCCCTCTGGAATTTCTCAGGTTAGTAAAGGTGTGCATGCCTGCTAGCACGTCTAAAGTAAGCAGGGCTATGAGAGATGACAGGTCATGTTTCACATTAGAAATATTCCTTTTGAGGCTGGAAAAATTGCACAAAGTGCAGCACCCTCTGGGACACTAAGGAGGATGTTATTCTAACTTAATACATTCACCATCAGTCATGTACAAACCAGAGCATTTGCCAGGGCTGGGTTGCTGCTTTTTCTTCTCAGCATCCTTTCGAGCAGCTCAGCCTGTGTATACTCAGACACTGAAATGAAGGAGAAAGGATGCTTTTTCTAAGCTGTGTATTTGCAACTGGGCTTTTCATTCATGATTCCAGCATGAGCTGTCCCCCTGGCACCAATCTGTGTGCCCATGCTCCTCCCTGCTGTGCCACCCGGTGCCAGCACCCAGCTGGTAGAGCTGCTGGGCACTCAGAACGAGCCGGGATAAAATACCACAGAGTTGTATTAAAACTTGAAGTCTTATGTCTCTTAGTTTATGCTGTGAATGGCTAGCCAGTGGGGTGTTGGTATGGGTAGTTGATATCTCCAGAGGGAAATTTCCATCAGTGGCTTGCTGTTTCAGGCAGGAAGGAAAGTGGAAAGGTAGACAAGTCAGTGGCTGACATTGGGTTACTTTCCAACCCTATTTTCAAAGCTAATGTGTTGCACACAAAATGTTCAGTGGAACAGCTTGTATCTTCTGTACAATACTGTTTTTCTTACTTTTATCTAGAACGTTTAGTGCTTCATTCATCATAGGATCCAGAGAGACAAAAGGGCTGTTACATTCGAAAATTAATCAGTGGGGAGAGAGCATCATTGATAACCTAGCCTATATGTGTAGCTAAATGTTTTTATCTTTGTTAAGTTTTAAGCTCCATGTTTATCTGAATAGAAATTTCTGTAAGCTTCCAGAAGCAGGTACATATGTGGGGAAAAAAAGTCAGCCTAAATGAGAGCTGCTCAATTATCTTCTGTGTGTGC